CCCCCAGGGTGCCTGAGGACCATGACCTCAACCCTTCCCCATTCACTCCCGGAATCCTCCCATTCCCAGCCTCCATCACGGAAGCTCCCACTCCCACCCCACAGACCAGGGCGATGTGTCCCTCTGCCCCTTGGTGTCGTCCCCTGTCAAGTGCACTGACGGTGCCCACCCATGGGATCCATGGGCATGAGGATAATGACACTTAGCAGAGCCTTGACCTTCTGTCAGATGTGCACCGAGGCGTTCTTAGAAAGCCTGGTGATTTTGATTTGTTCTCTCCCAGTATCCTGACGCCAAATGATACCCTCTTGCCAACTTGGGGCAGCTGCCCCATGCCCAGGGTAAAGGAAGGTGCCAGGAACCCTGCTATTCTCCCGCATTACAGGGAGGAAACAGGCCCAGAGAAAGGGAGCCGCTCGCCCAGGGCCCCGGGGATGGACCAGGCGGGAGCAGGGTTCCCACAGAACACACGTTCAGGGCCACGGTGACCCCCCACTGCATGTGGGTGTCTGTTATTCAAACAAATGGTGCTTAGCACGTCGGGAGCACTTCTCAGGAATGTCTGAAAACCCCTGTCGGGCGGGGAGTGTGGGGAGGGGTGCATTTCAAAACCCCAGGATGAACGGGGCAGGCAGGTGTCTAGGAATCCAAATGCCAACATAACGTCAGGCAGTATTTTATTATTTTAAAAGTGCAAGGAGCACAGAGAGTACAAGATCCCGAATTCACAGACATTTAAAAGTTACCCTTGGCTTCAGAGGGTTGTCCCGGCTTTGGCCCTCTGAGGCCAGCCTGCCCCCCAACCCCCTGGCTTCTGTTGGCAAAGTGAGGTTTGGAGAGTACAGACTAACCCCCTGGGAGCGTCAGTCTCCACATCTGTAAAATGGCAAAGGTGCTAGGACCCGCCTGGAGGAGGGCTGGTGAGTTGGGAGTCCTGGGGTTACCTGTGTGGACACCCTGGACACCACGAGTGGGACAGTGCGGACGTATGTGCTCTAGTCTGGGCAGGAGGGGCCCTGCGAGCACACAGCGGGCCAGCGCTAGCGCAGGGCTGCGGCCAGGTCTGTGCCTCCTCCAGCAGCAGCTAAACTCCAGGTGCCTCAGCTTCCCCTCACCTCCCCCCCCCCCCTGTGAGAAAGGGCAAAGGTAGTTCCAACCCCTTGGGATGTCGTGGGTGAACCAGTGACTGGACTGACGTTAGGACACTGCCTTGCACCTGGCAGTGTCTTACCAAAGCAATTGGTGGATCAGGACCTGTTTGTGCCAGGGCCCAGGAGGCGAGGGTGGGGGCACGATTTAGCCTCTGGCACCCTGGATGGAGCACCATATAGCTCGTTGGTTTAAAAAAATTAAATAAAACACGCTCGCTCCTTTATAGCTCATCCTGTCTTCTCCTCTCTAACTGTCCCTGGGACAGACGCACAAGTGTGTTGACTACCACTCTCTAACACCAACGGCAACAATTTGGGAACGAGCCACTGCGTCCATGGGGGGAGGGCAGTTCGGGGAGACTACGATGCAGCTCCATAAAAGCACAAGCAAGCTGTAGGCAGGGCTTCTCCCTGCAGGGTGCTCTGGATCATTCTCTGCGGGGGGGGGGGGGGGGGGATCCTGGACACCGTGGGGGAGGGGTGCTGAGCAGCATCCCTGGCTCCTTCCCACTGGATGCCAGGAGCACCCCCCAGTCCAGACAGATGTCCCCAGACATTACCCAGTGTCTCCTGGGGCAGAACAGTCCCTGGGTGACACCCCCCACCCCACCGTACCCCGCCCACTGGAAATGCTGCAAGGAGACTCAAGCCCTCATCTGGGATTCTTTTGTTAGAAAAAAAAAAAGCAAGCATATTTGTAAGAATATGTACCTGTTATGTGTGCAATGGTTCAGACAAAGCTGATGGAAAGAGAGCTGCCCCGGAGTGGGGTCCCGCCCGGGGAGGGGTGGTGAGGAAGGCGGCTTTTCACTTTGGGGACTTTTATATCTTCCTTAGATGCTCCTGGACGGTTTGTGTCATTAACAACCAACTTTTTAAAAAAAGTGAGTGCCATTCACAGGGCAGCTGAGGCAGGGACCACAGGTGTCCACACAGTAAGTCCACAGCCACCACACCCAGAGAACAGAGGACACAGCACCGTCCAGGCCCTGGGAATGTGACAGTGTTACCCCCTCCTCTGCCCTTGTGTTCCCATTTTACAGAGGAGAAACTGAGGTTCTAGAAGGCGATGTTAAGGTCTTTGGTCTCCACAAGTAAAGGTAGGATGGGGCACAAGGCTGGTACAGATACACGCACAGACACACACACCATGCCCCACAGACACTCACGTCACAAAAATGCAGACACACAGTCCTCATATGACACATACAGTCACACACACGTGACACAAACACAGAGACTCCCATGAACTCAGACTTCCCCACACCTGGCCTCAAACATCTCCTCAGAGGGGCACCCAGGGACACCCGGACTCCCACAGACTCACACACGGCACACGCTCACACACACACACCTTCAGCAGACTTGGGGAGACACACAGATCCACTCCAGTGCACACACAACCGGGAACATAACACATATATGCTCCTTCACCATCACACCCTCACACCCAAACACAACCATGCACACGCCCACAAGCAGCAGCCCTCCCAGGATCCCTACACAGGTGCGTGCACGTGCGCACCACATCCCTGCTCCTCCCCCACCCGTGCCCCCCAGAGCCAGGCCCAGGCTCAGTGCTCTCCCCAGTCGGCTGCAGGGGTGGTTGGTGGTGGCGGCAGGGCCTGTCTCCCCACCCCAAATGCAGGTGCCTGTTTGCGGCTGGGAGTGTCAGTGTGGGTCTGTGTGCGGTGGTGCGGGTGTGCAGTGCTGTACACCTGTGTCCTGGGTGTGTGCTTGTCAATGTTCCTGCACAGATGTGTCCCACTGCACCAGGCGCCCGGCGGGAGAGGCTCGAGCTGGGAAGGGCAGGCGGACCAGGTGTCCCACTGGGCGGGAGGGTGGCCGGACTGTTGTGTCTCCGCAGTGGCGGGGAGCGCAGGGGAGGGGGCACACTGGCAGAGAGAGGGGGGCAGTTTACCAGACCTCCCGACCTTGAGGGTGGGGCGCCTACACATCCCGGTGTCAGTGTAGGACCCCTCTTTCCCTTTCCCCAACAGCCCCCTAAAATGGGTTGCAGGTTTAAAGGAAAAAAAGCTGCTCCTCCGGCCTGGCCTTGGCGCTTTTATATTTAGAAAATTATATCAAGCGCCCCGGTGTGGGGGTGGGGGTGCGGCGGGGATTCCCCCGCAGGGGAGCAAACAACACTCTGTGCCCGCCCCTCTGGCCTAGGAGGGGGCAGCGCTCGGAGGCAGGCCTGGGGGTGGCTCCCCGCTTCGGGGGTGAGGGGGTTTCCTCGGCCACCCTCCCGGGCCCCGACCTGGCCCCCGCGCTTCTGTAGCCAGCCGTCCCTCGGGACCTCCTCCGCCGCGGAGTGGGGGGACACCCGCCGCCCCGCCTCCCTCTGGGGCAGGTCCCCGCGCACGCGCAGCCCCGGGCGGGAGCAGGCGCCGCCGCCGAGCGGTCGTGTCCCGGCGCCACCTCGCGCCCGAGCCTCAAGCCGGGACCACCTGGGCCCCCGCGGATGGGGCACCCCGAGTGGAGGGGGTGGTGTGGGGTGAGATGAGGGGTCAGAGTTTGGAAGCACCCGTCCCTCACTCAGGAACCCCGGGTGCAGGAAAAAGGAACTGGGGGGGGGGCCCGGGGAGCTGCAGACCCATCCCCAGGAAGAGTCCCTGGGCGCGAAAGACACGCACACGGCGACACCCAGCCGTCCCCTGGGACGCGGCCGCTGACACAGCCCCCGGCGGCCACACGTCCCCGTGCGGACCCCGCGGGTCACCCCGGGACACCGCGGCCCTCCTCGCAGCTTCACAACATCTCCCCAGCGGGGCGCGCGGCCACCGGCACTCCCGCCGTCCCCGAGCCGCACAATGCTCGGACACACGCGCAACGCAACACACTCGGCCACGTGGGTGCGCGGACACACGCAGACCCATAAAGGAGGGGGCTCGACGCCTCGAGACCCGCGGCCCGCGGCCCCAGACGGGGCCCCCGGCCGTGCAGAGCCGCCGCCGCCGCCGCCGCCGCGCCCGGGCCTCCCGCGCGGACCCGCCGGGGCACAGGCGCCCCCCACGCGCCCCCCACGCGCCCCCCGAGCGCCGGATGCCGCCGACGCCCGCGGGCCGGGCCGGAACCCTCGGGCGCAGCCGCCGACGCCGAGCGGGCCCGGGGCGCGCGGGGCCGAGACCCGGGGACCCCCCCCCCCCCCGGCGGCGGCCGGCGCGCGCGGCGGAGGGCCGGGGTCGGCCCGGGGGCGGCCCGGGGGCGGCCCGGGGGCGGGGCTGCGGCCTGGCGCGGGCGGGGTGCGGCCCCCGAGCGCAGCCGCCCGCCCCGCTCCAAGTTCAAGGCGCCCGGCGGCGGCCGCGGCGCGCTCTCCGCCCCTCTCCGCAGCGGCCATTTTCCGCTAGCTGGCGCGGCGCTCGCCCGGCCCGGGGCACCCCGCGGGGCCCGCCCCCCCTCCCCGGCCCGCCGGGCGCCCCCTCCTCGGCCCCGCGCCCCCGCGGGCTGCGCGCTCGGGGGTCGTGCGCTCCGGGCCGCGCCCTCCCGCGTCCGGCCGGGCCGGGGGGGGGGGGCGGGGGGGCGGGGGGGCGGGGAGGCGGGAGCCGGGTCCGGGGGGGCCCTCTCCGGGGAGCCCCGCCCTCCCCGCCAACTCCGCGGCCCCCCACTCGGGGTCCCCCGCTGAGCCCCGCGCGCCGGCTCCGCCTCCAGCCGCGCGCGGGGGGGGGTGGGGGGATCGGCGGGCGGGGGTCCCGAGGCCGCGGGCGGCGCGGGGGGGTCCCCGCCTCGAGCCCCTCCCCTGGGCGGCCCCCGCCCCCCGCCCCCCCAGACCTCGCAACTTTCGCCGGGAGCCCACGCACCACCCCAAAAACTCCCCGGGCGAAAACGAAAGTGGGGGCGGCGACGTACCATGGCGCTGCTGCGAGGAGGCGAGGCCGGCGCCGGAGCGAGCGCGCTCGGTCCCCGGCGAGGGGGGGCCGGAGGCGGCGGGAGGAGGCGGCGAGGGAGGGCGCGCGGGGGAGGGAGCGAGCGCGCGAGGGAGGGGGCGCGCCGCGCCCGCCCCCCCGGCCCGCAGGACCCTCCCCTCGGCCCGCCCTCCCCCCGGCCCCGCGCGCCGCCCGCGCCTCAGGCCGCTCCGCGCCCCGGCCCCGGCTGCGGCGGCCCCGGCCGCGGCTCCATCCCCGGCGCGGCCCGCGCGAGGGGAGGCCGAGCGAGCGGCGGCCGCGGCGGGTCGCGGGGCCCAGGTCGGGCTGGCTGCGGAGGAAGCGGATCCACCTTCGCCGCGGCGCGCGCGCGCTCGCACACACACTCGCACACACACTCGCACACTCACACGCGCGCACAGGGCTCGGGGACACTCGCGGCCCGGGCCTCCGACCCCGACGCGGACACACAACGCGCAGCGACGCGCGCAGACCCGCACAGGCTCGCCCGCAGCGTGGACCACACGCAGCCTGCGGCGTCACCCGGGGCGCGGGGCCCACGCTCGCAGCCGAGGGGGCTGCCTCGGACGCACACGCGCACGGCCTGCGGCTGTCGCCCAGACAGACACCCCGGGGACTCGCACCTACTCGCAGCCTGCGGGGTGTCACGCGGACAGCCACAGCCTCCACGCTGTCACATACACACTCACAGCCCGCGGGGTGTCCCCTGGACACTCACACAGATTGACGGCCGTGGAAAGACACTGCAGACCTCGGGCTGACCCGCACAGCGACCCCGGGAGGCCGCCCCCAGGCGATCGCGCCCGCCCCCCCCACCCCGGGCCCGTGAGTGCAGGTGTCCCGGATACACGCAGTCACAACAAGCACGCAAAGCGGGGAGACGGGACGGATGGGGACACAGACAGACTCGGACACCGAGGGCGACAGACCTGGGGGGCGGGGGTCCCCTGGGGGTCCCGCAGGGGCTCCAGCGGGGCGGGGGGCGGGGAGCGCGCGCGGCGGCCTCGCAGGTGGGGGTGAGCGGGCGCCCCCTCCCCGGGTCACGGTTAATGGTGGAGCGTCCGCAGCGGGGGGAGGGGCGGGCGAGGAGGGTCAGCCCCCCGCCCCTGCCGCGCCGGCCGCCGAGAGCCGGGCCGCGGTGCCGCAGCGCCCCCCCACCCCCAGCGCTCTCCCGCAGTCCCCCTCCTCCGGCAGCCGCAGAGCAGGCGCCGCCCCCTTCCCCCCTCCCGGGCTCTGCGTCTGGCGCAGCTGGGGGACGACGGGAGGGGTCTTGCCCGGCCCGGTGGGCGGAGGAGAGCCTGCGAGCGTCCTGCTGCCTGGGCTCCCCTCAGCCTGCGCCCCCAGGTCCCCGCCCTGGGGCGCCGGGATTCAAGGGCCCCTTTGGAGAAGTGGTTCCCAGCTCTCCCAGGGAGGACGCCGGGGTTTAGGGAGGGGGCAGGCGGGGGCTCAGGACGGGAATCAGGCCCCGGACCGCCCTTCCGCTGCCGTGGCGGACTCTGGGGGCTTCTGGAAGTTGATTCTGCGGCTCTGTGCGCGCTGCTGGGCATCCCAGAGGCTGGGAAATCTCGGACAAATGAGATGTGACAGCAGCCCTGCCTGCATAGTAGGTGCTCAGTAAGTCTGGGCCGCCCCAGCAGATCTCCACCAGGCCCGGAGCTCCCGCCCTGCCAGCCGAGGTCTCATCGCCTCTGCACGCTCCCCCAGTTTTTCAGGAGAGAAAACTGAGGCCCAGAGAGGAACCCCATCTTCCCCAGGTCAACCAGCATGTGGGAAGCCTGAGGACCCCAACCCTAATGCCTCCTCCAGGGTTCTGCGGTGGTGGGAGGGGAAGGTTCTGCAGGTGGCCTGCCCTCTCACAAACCTGAGGCCAAAGGAAGTAGGGGTGGCTACTCTGGCGCTGGCAGGGGAAGGGTTAAGTGGATAGAGACCCCTTCCCCCACCCTCTGCCTCTCTCCCCCCTCCCCCCCCCCATCTCTAATCTTCCCCTGTTAATCCCCAGCATGAATCCTCTGCCCCTCCCTCTTAGGTACCTGAGAGGAGGGGCGGGGCCTGAGTTGATAGCTGCCAGACCCCAGGGATTGGGGTCCGGCGGACAGTCAGGAGGGCACAGAAGCAGCCCCCACCCATCATTTTCCCCAGAGGCCACCCCTGGGCTGCAGGAACGGAGCTCATGTGAGCCTGCTCTGTTACCTTTCCCAGCAACCCTATGAGGTGGGTGCTATTAATTCCATCCCCATTGCATGAGTGGAGAAACTGAGGCTCAGACAGGTTTAGACATGTGCCCAAGGTCACCCAGCTGGCCTGGAGGACGCCTTCCTGACTTAACCTCCTCTCATTTTAGCTTCTTTTGTGATCTGAATAGGCTGAGAATCTCTCACATCATCAACTCCTGTTTCCTGTATAACTGTAGGACACAGCTCAGCTGAGTCTCTGCCACCACAGACCGAGGAGCCCCCCTTTTCCTCCAGATGCGTTGGCCTGCAGTGCTTCTGCTCTGTTACATTCCTGGGAGGCAGACTGATTAGTAAACACATGAAAAGTGTCCAGCGTTACAGAGGCCAAAGAAAGGAGAACAAACAGTAAGAAAAATACCATGCTCTGGCACTCATCAAAGTAGGTAAAGATTGTTAAATTGATAAAAAGCTAGTGCTGGTGAGGATGTGGTGAAACAGGCATTTTCACAAAGTGCTCGGAGGTGAATGTGTATGAGTTGGGAAAGCAGTTGGCAGGCATGGCAGGGGGTGAAGGCACGTTCAGGCCTCGCGGCCCAACTTCTGGGAGTCTGTCTCGAACTCCCATAACCTATGAATGCCCCTGAAGATGTTCCTTGCCCTATGCTTGTGAGAATTGCTACAAAACAATGTTTCTCAGCCTTTTTTTTTTCCCACTAGAGTCCCTCTTGAACTGTTTGAGATATATTTTTTAAGATTTTATTTATTTATTCATGAGAGACACATAGGGAGGCAGACACACAGGCAGAGGGAGAAGCAGGCTCCCTGCAGGACTCGATCCCTGGGCCCCAGGATCACCATCTGAGCTGAAGGCAGATGCTTAACCGCTGAGCCACCCAGACGCCCCTGCTTGAGACTTTTTCTTTCCTGATCACCTCTCGTGAAATTTTAATACCACGGGTATACTGCGTGCTTGTGTTTATATTTAATGTATGTCTGTGTTTTGTACATCAGAAGAGTAAGATTTTATTTACAACCCTCCCGCCACCGGACCAATCTTTGCCCTTGTCGAGAATGCATGCTACAAATAATGGCGCAGACTTCTGATGAAATGTGAAAAGGAGTGAGGTTCTAGTAAGAACAAGACAACCACTCAAAAGGAAAATAGGTAGAAAGCATGAACAGGTGTACGATGAATGATGAGACAGGAGTGGCCAACAAGTTCATGACGAGATGTCCAGCCTCTTTAAGGGCCAAGGGAGGGATGCCTGGGTGCTCAGCGGTTGAGCATTGGCCTTCGGCCCAGGGCGTGATCCTGGGGTCCCAGGATCGAGTCCCACATCAGGTTCCCCGCAGGGAGCCTGTTTCTCCCTCTGCCTGTGTCTCTGTCTCTCCCTCTCTGTGTCTCTCATGAATAAATAAATAATTTTTTTAAAAGATCAAGGGAATGCACGGGAAGGCCGTGGCAAGGCCCCATTTTCCTCATAGCCCTACATTTAAAATGTCCAGCAATATGAAATGTCACAGACGTTGTGCGTGCACAGGGCTCTTGCACACTGCAAACACTCCGGGAAACAGACTGGCCTGAATCGCAACCCTGAACATCCATGGGCCGCATAACATGGCCTTTCCGCTCCCGGATACACACCCACCAGAAGGCTTTGCTCGTTGCTTCTGGGAGATGCGCCCCCCAACAGTCATCACTGCAACGTAAAGAAGCCAAAAACCCAGAAACGACCCGAATGCCCATTGCTGAGAGAATGGAGAGATGCATTGTGGAGAATTCACCTACTGGAGTATCAATCAGCAGCCCGGCCAGGGGGTGTCCCCAGCCACAGGCCAACAGTATGGAGGGACGGAGCAACGCAACATCGAGGGGGCAGAGAGCCCCCAGAAGTTACACATGGCGTGATAGCCTCCTTATGAAGTTAGAGTACTTGAAACGACATTTTACGGGGGAATAACAATTTGAGATATGCTTATTTTTGAGGGGGGTGGGGAGGGAGGGAAAGGATAAATGATCCTTTACCCAGATCAGGGAGTGTGGTTGCTTTCTAAGGGAGAACCCAGGCAGCAGGATGGGGTCATTGCTAAAATTCTCTTTATCCAGGTGGTGTTGAGTTGGTGGGTATTTATCCTATTAGCAAAATTTAAAACTTACTGATAAATGGAACAGTGATGAGAGTAAGTCATGAGTCAGCCTGGGACTGAACTCATTTCAGCATCTAAAGCCCAAACAAACTGCCGAAACCACCAGCTCAGAATAACGTGTGAGAGTAAACTGTCAGCTCCACGCCGCGAGGGTAGGGGGTACCCATCTGGTGAGTTCACAGCTGCATCCTGACACCGAGAACAGCTCCTGGTACGAAGTAGGTGCTCAATAAATATTGATTGAATGAATGCAAGTCTGAGGGACCAAAGGCCTTGTAAAAATCCTATTTTAAGAACAAATCACAGGGGTGCCTGGGTGGCTCAGTCGGTTAAGCATCTGACTCTTCATACATATATATTTGTTTGACAGTGAGAGTGAGAGAGCACAAGCAGGGGGAGCAGCAGAGGCTGAGCAGGGGGCCCAACTGTGGGACTCAATCCCAGGACCTTGAGATCATGACCTGAGTCGAAGGCAGATGCTTCAACAGACTGAGCCACCCAGGAGCCCCAAGCGTCTGACTCTTGATTTCAGCTCAGGGTCATGATCTCAGGGTCACGATCTCAGGGTGCTGAGATCAAGTCCCATGTTGGGCTCCACACTGGGCATGGAACCTGCTTAAGGTTCTCTCTCTCCCTCTCCCTCTGCCCCTCCCGCCTCCCGCTCTAAAAAAAAAAAAAGGAAGAAAAAAACCCACATCTCATATGTTTATGTATATATTGTATTGATATGTAGAATATATGTGCATATGAAACGTGTAACACACAGCGTATATGTAGTATATGTATTTATTATTTATCTAG